ATTAGTATTCCCCTCCCAAATACCATGCCCCCCCTCCCCGTTTCAATGGCAGCCGAAGCAGCAGCAAAGCAGAGGCTGACACTGTTGTGATTTGTAATTATTTGTATTGTGTTTGAATTTTTTCCTGCCTCATGATTTCTTTTTCTATCTTGGGAGGGGGGTCTTCATTCACTGCTTTAGTGGTTCCTGGCACTGTCCTTTTGGGGTGTACTTCCAAGAGGCAGGATGCAAACTTGACACTGATTTTTTTACTGCCTTTCTGGGGGGCATGTGATCTTTTTTAAAATCTGGATGATTTCCTTAGGATATCTTGTGAGGTGAGTGAGACCAGCCGTGCTTGACAAATTTGGGAGGGCAGAGACTTGAACCTGGGTTCCCTATATAATTTGTTAATTTGTTTCTTTAGCTTGGCATTTTGTAGCCCAAGTGTGCCCACCCACTTTCTAGAGAGCTTAAATGAACACTCTGCTAAAGGGTTTCACTTTATGAGCAAGAGTTGACTGCTGATACTCAAGGGGACGGGAAGCTTGAGAAGCTCAGAGTGGGGAGAGCTCCCCCTTTCAAAGATGATTCCCTGCCAGTAGCAAGACAGGGAAAAGTGCTGAAGGGACAGGTCCTCCAGGAACCTCAGCCAGCAGAGAGTCAAATGAAGTTGCCTGGGAAAAGACAAGCCGCTAAATTTGCCAAGCAAGCCTCAGACATGGAAACCCTTTCCACAGGGATCAGTGGAGGCCCAGCCGAAGGCACTTGCCAAGCCCGGATGAACGAAGTGGTGGGGATGAAGACCCGATGGTCAGCGCACCCATCCACCCCTTTGCCATCAAAGCCAAGCTCATAGTGCCCGAGACGGAGGTAGAAGGGGAAGTTGAGGCAATCGTGGACACCGGATGCACCTGATGCTTAATTAGCATGTCTATCGTGGAGCAGCTAGGCATACACACAAGACCCCCTAACCAATCCCATTCGGTTTGAGCAGGTGGATAGGGCGCTCATTGGAGGAGCCCTGGCCAAACTAATTACTGACTTGGCAAAGTTGCAGATAGGGCACCACTATGAACTCCTCAGATTCATCGTAGCTCCAAAGACACATGAATCAATTATTTTGGGGCTTGCATGGCTGGACAAGTGGACACCTACCATAAAGTGGGAAGATGGCATTCGGAAATTGATCATAAGCTTTGGGCTGTTACCACCTGTGAAGCCAGAGGGCCACCCGGGGACTATCAAACCCAATAAAGCAGACCGCCCAGAGCCTGCAGCCCCTGCAACAGATACAAAGCCCCCAAGCATCCAGCAAATGCCAAAAGAGTACTGGGACCTGGCAGGGGTCTTCAATGAGGAAGATTGTAACTATCTCCCCCCTCATTGGCACACCGATTGTGCGATAGAGTTCATACCTGAGGCTGCCCTACCAGAGCCGAAAATGTACTCCATGACTCCTAAAGAGATGGTAGAATTAAGGAAGTACATTGACATCAATTTGAAGTGGGGCTTTATTGAACCTGCTAAGTCAGAAGTAGCAGCCCCTGTGCTCTTCAAAGAGAAGAAAGATGGTGGGGTGAGGCTATGTATTGACCTTTGAGGGATAAACACCGTATGTGTGAACACCTACCCTCTCCCCCTCATGAAGGACATGTTGAACCATTTGGCTAAAGGCAAGGTGTTCACCAAACTGGACTTGAGAGAGGCATATTGCTGCATACATATCAGGGAGGGAGATGAATGGAAGACCGCCTTTAACTGCCCCCTTGGCAGTTTCCAATTCAAAGTTATGACATTTGGGCTACAAGGGGCCCCTGCAGGCTTCATGCAACACATAAATGAGGTGTTACATGAGCACCTATACGGAGGAGTGCTCGTTTACCTTGATGACATCTTAGTTTTTTCTGAAACCCTAGAAGAGCACATGAAGCTGGTGCGACAGGTCCTGGAAAAACCTCTAGCCGCCAAGCTATACGCAAAATTGCGTGTGAGTTCCACAAAACCACTAGATTACCTTGGCTATTGCATCTCCAGCGAGGGGATAGAGATGGACCCAGGGAAAGTGAAAGTTATGTTAGACTGGAAACCCCCAAGTACCTGCAAACAGCTACAAAGCTTCCTTGGATTTGCCAACCTTTATAGGCAATTCATCCTGGCTTTTGCAGAAATTGCCCTACAATTGACTGAACTGTTAAAAACTGGGCCTTTCCCAACAAAGCCAAAGGCAAACCAACCCATTGGGTGGACAATGGACTGTCAAAAAGCATTTGAGAAATTAAAACGGCTCTTTGTCCAAGAGCCCATACTGCAACACCTCGACCCAGAACAACAATGCATAATACAGAAAGATGCCAGTGATGTGGCTGTAGTGGCAGGGCTGTTGCAAAAGAACAAAGAAGGATGTCTCCAAAAAACTCACTGCTACTGAGACATTTCCTGGAAGGGGGGAATGTGCCATTCGAGGTCTGGACTGACATAAAAACCTCGAAGCCCTCAAAAGCCCCCGAAGACTGTCCCCAAAGCAAGTTCGCTGGGCACAATACTTCCGAAGGTTCAAATTCGAACTGAAACATCCCTGCAGGGTCAAACCTCAGGGTTTGAACCTCCCCCCCCCCCAATTCGAGTCCCACCTGCAATGCCACAACAGGCTCTTGCCCCACCGGGAGCCGCCGGGAGCAGCTCAGCAAGGGGGCCTACCACCCCAAGCAGCCGCCCAACCGCCCGTTCAATTTCAGCAACTTGCCGCGCCAGCTCCCACACCACTGGCAATGTTTGATGGGACCCCAAGAAAGCTAGTATATTTCCTAAAACAAACCTGGGTGTACATTGATCAATTTGGGGGGGTCAATACCCTTCCGATAGAGAATTAATCTCAGCAATAGCAGAAGGGATGAATGAGGGGAAAGCTGCAGAGTGGATAGCGGAGCTCCACGACGAGGCGCCTCCTGAGTTAGAAGATGCAACCGGGTTCATCTAACTGATGCGCACCTGATTTAGCAATGTGGGGCAACACGTGGAAGCAGAAGAGCAGATCCAGGAATTGCAACAGGCTGGCCATCCTGTGAAAGAGTTAGTTTGGGAGTTCAGGAGAACGGCTGGAAAACTGAGAGACTGGCCAGGAAAACTCCTGGTCCACACGTTCAAAAATGCCTTAGACCCTGAACTGAGGAAAGCTTGCAGCATAAGGGAGGTCCCAGAAGAGATCCAGAATTGGTACACCACCACAATCCTGCTGTACCACAATCTTCAACCCCATCAAAAGCCCACTGCAGGAAAACCTGATAGAAGGCTGTTGGGCTGCCGAACGCAGATTCAGTGAGCTGAGAAGCCTCTTTGCAACTTTGCAACTTTAATAAAATTTGTATGCTGCCCACTCCCTAGGGACTCTGGGCGGCTCACAACAAAAGCAAAAACATAGAATATTAAAAGTACAATTATTTAAAATAAAATCATCCATTAAATCGCGTGGGGCTGGATTTTAATCAACAGCCCCAGGCCTGCTGGAACAGCCAGGTCTTG